ATTTTATGGATTAAATTTTACGTATTATACTTGAATAAATACGGTATAGACACCTCTAAAACCACAAAACTGGCCACAATTCCGCCACTTTTACTATTATGTCTAGTTATTCACAACAAATACCCTAGTCTAAAACACTAAAATGAAAGGCAGAGAATAATTTACATTCCTTCAWGGAATGCTTCATTTACTGTTGTTATTTGCAGAAGTTATTACACATCCTGTCCTACGATCCTTCTAGCTCAGTTAATGTTTTTTTTTACTTGGTCAAAGTTTAAATTGAAGCAGAATACMTTAACTTGCATCTGTGAACATTTAATATCTAATCTGTCTGGGGAAATGGACTTGGTAATGGTGAGTGTTTGGGGCAAAGATTAAAATGGCACCTTAAAACAAGTCAAATCTCAGAAACCCAAATTCTAGTTAACACCATTTTATAGACCTTTACACTGCAGTCAGTTCTGCTTTAGATTTTTAGTCCTGCAGAAATAGTAATATAATCTTGCCCAAAGTGCTCCAGGTCAACTACAGAATTCAATAAAAATGATCATGTAATGCAAAACTGAAAAYGTGGCCAATATCTTGAAAATCTGGTCAGAATTAAGCTATTTCTTCAAACTGAGGGGGTTCAAACAGCTGCCCACAGCAGGTAAGGGGTTAAATGTTCATAACGTTTTTACAGAACCCCACTTTACAAGATCTGAAAGATGTCTTTAAACTGCCACAGGTTAGAAACCATTTGCTACCTGTAGTAGAGCATGCAAAGCGCAAACGGTGCCGTGATCACGACCTGCAGCCAGCGCCAATCAGTGATGAGGTAAGCAAGCAGAGGGAGGATGAGGAGGCCAATGCTGAAGATCATCTGAAACAAGATACCRACTGTTCGTCTGTACTCCACTCCAACCATCTCTGTCACTAAAGCAACAAGATGAAAGACAGTCAGTTAAAGACTATTCTACTTAAAGAAAATAAAACAGTGTTCTTGACTTTCTTCTAAAAACATTTATAACATTTTTCAAAGAATTCTTTAAAAACAATTCACTTCTTTACATATTTATGATTTACGTTTGTTAATGTGTGGCTRAAGTTGTAGAGACGTGGTGAATTATTTACAGTGTTAGTCAAAAATTCACTTATAGACTCATTCAGAGAGCAGATTTGATGGGAACAATTCAAATAAAATAAAAGTACCCTCCTATAATTTAAAATAAATTACAATATTCTAAATTAATTTAATCTAAACACACAACAGATTCCACCGTCACTGTTTATTTAAAAGACATTTCCTAACTAGAAGCACTCGGAGAGTACAAACTTCCGCCAAGACCAGTTTCCCCCATCCTGTAATAGAGTTACAAAGGGGCACACCAATACTACAGTGCCACCTGCTGGACACTTTGAAACCCATGCCCTGTGAAAGCATCACAGCTTTGCCGATGTCAGAGTGTTCAAAGAAAAAAATTTCTGTATCCGCATCGTGTTCTGGAACATCAACAAAATTTAATGATGTGTTCCTTGGCCCAGTACACACATGTGGTAAAAATATCATAACAATCCACCCACAAGTTTTTGAGTAATGTTGTCCACAGACAGAACGACAGACAGACAGACATATGCGACCGAAAACATTACCTCGCCATTGGCAGAGATAATTAATTGGAGTCCATTGTTCTACACAGACAACGATTATTCCCAAATGAAAAAGATTTAAGGCCAATCATCCCAGAAGTAGACGTCTCAGCAAATTCACCCCAAGTTCAGACCGTGCAACGCTCAGAGTGAGCTCTGTCTCAGATTCTGCAGGTCAAAGGTTAAAGGTCATGGTAAAAAAAAGACAGCATGACTTGAGGGAAGGAACCACAAGAATTCTGTATCAAACCAGACCAAAGACAGACGTTTACCCATCCCAGCTGTCAGCACGGTGGTGGAGGGCTGATGGTTTGGCCTCTCCGAGTGGATCATGATTGYCTCAGGGTTCTACTGTAGAACCAAATGTGAGTCCACCTGTCCAACAGCTGAAGCTTGAATCTACCTGGGTCCAACAGGATAATGACAGGGGATTCTGATGTTATAAGTCCATGAAATGGACGTTATTAGGCATTATCAGTCCCATACAATGGCTTCAGAGGGTCCCTACTGTGCCTTCTAGGCTTCAGACTGTCCCGACAGTGCCCCCTAGTGGGTTAATATATCAATGACAATGAATGTGTAAATAACCAAAAGAAAGTGTAATAAATTTTTTGTGTCCATGTTTGTCTCAAACCCCGGTCTACCACTCTCTGGTCTGACACTCTACCCATTGCCCTATTGGAAAGCCAAAATTTGCAACCGTTGCAGGGCGGTGTCTTTAGCACTAACCATGTGATTTGCTCTAAAGTTAACCTTAGTGGCTTTAAGCCTCATATTAACCAGCTTTGTTCTGCCTCATGTTAACCAGATAGTGGTTTTATGCCTCATATTAACCAGATAGTGGTTTTAAGCCTCATATTTACCAGCTGACAATCAGAAGCCATTCTATGGGACTGGAAACCTGCTAACCGGCACAGACGGGACATTCTGAAGCCATTCTAGGGGACTGATAACGCCTGATAACGTCCATTTTCTGGTTGATAACATCCGAAGCGGGTGGCATTGACTGGTATGCCTCCGCCTGCTTTAGACTGTTCTGCAG